GGACGTGGACGTGGACGTGGACGTGGACGTGGACTGGACGTGGACGTGGACGTGGACGTGACGTGGACGTGGACATGGACGTGGACATGGACGTGGACGTGGACGTGGACGTGGACGTGGACGTGGACGTGGACATGGACGTGGACGTGGACGTGGACGTGGACGTGGACGTGGACATGGACGTGGACGTGGACGTGGACATGGACGTGGACGTGGAGGACGTGGACGTGGACGTGGACGTGGACGTGGAGGACGTGGACGTGGACGGACGTGGACGTGGACGTGGGACGTGGACGTGGACATGGACGTGGACATGGACGTGGACGTGGACGTGGACGTGGACATGGACGTGGACGTGGACGTGGACGTGGACGTGGACGTGGACGTGGACTGGACATGGACGTGGACATGGACGTGGACGTGGACGTGGACGTGGACATGGACGTGGACGGACGTGGACGTGGACGTGGACGTGGACGTGGACGTGGACGTGACGTGGACGTGGACGTGGACGTGGACGTGGACGTGGACGTGGACGTGGACGTGGACATGGACGTGGACGTGGACGTGGACGTGGACGTGGACGTGGACGTGGACGTGGACGTGGACGTGGACGTGGACGTGGACTGGACGTGGACGTGGACGTGGACGTGGACGTGGACGTGGACGTGGACGTGGACGTGGACGTGGACATGGACGTGGACGTGGACGTGGACATGGACGTGGACATGGACGTGGACGTGGACGTGGACGTGGACATGGACGTGGACGTGGACGTGGACGTGGACGTGGACGTGGACGTGGACGTGGACATGGACGTGGACGTGGACATGGACGTGGACGTGGACGTGGACGTGGACGTGGACATGGACGTGGACATGGACGTGGACATGGACGTGGACGTGGACATGGACGTGGACGTGGACGTGGACGTGGACGTGGACGTGGACGTGGACGTGGACGTGGACGTGGACGTGGACGTGGACGTGGACGTGGATGGACGTGGACATGGACGTGGACATGGACGTGGACGTGGACGTGGACGTGGACGTGGACGTGGACGTGGACATGGACGTGGACGTGGACGTGGACGTGGACATGGACGTGGACGTGGACGTGGACGTGGACGTGGACGTGGACGTGGACGTGGACGTGGACGTGGACGTGGACGTGGACGTGGACGTGACGTGGACGTGGACATGGACGTGGACGTGGACGTGGACATGGACGTGGACGTGGACGTGGACGTGGACGTGGACGTGGACATGGACGTGGACATGGACGTGGACGTGGACGTGACGTGGACGTGGACGTGGACGTGGACGTGGACGTGGACGTGGACGTGGACGTGGACGTGGACGTGGACATGGACGTGGACGTGGACGTGGACGTGGGGACATGGACGTGGACGTGGACGTGGACGTGGACGTGGACATGGACGTGGACGTGGACGTGGACATGGACGTGGACGTGGACGTGGACGTGGACGTGGACGTGGACATGGACGTGGACATGGACGTGGACGTGGACATGGACGTGGACATGGACGTGGACGTGGACGTGGACGTGGACGTGGACGTGGACGTGGACATGGACGTGGACGTGGACGTGGACGTGGACGTGGACGTGGACATGGACGTGGACGTGGACGTGGACGTGGACATGTGGACGTGACGTGGACGTGGACATGGACGTGGACGTGGACGTGGACGTGGACGTGGACGTGGACGTGGACGTGGACAGTGGACGTGGAGGACGTGGACGTGGACGTGGACGTGGACGTGGACGTGGACATGGACGTGGACGTGGACGTGGACGTGGACGTGGACGTGGACGTGGACGTGGACATGGACGTGGACGTGGACGTGGACATGGACGTGGACGTGGACGTGGACGTGGACGTGGACGTGGACGTGGATGGACGTGGACGTGACGTGGACGTGGACATGGACGTGGACGTGGACGTGGACATGGACGTGGACGTGGACATGGACGTGGACGTGGACGTGGACGTGGACGTGGACATGGACGTGGACGTGGACGTGGAGGACGTGGACGTGGACGTGGACGTGGACGTGGAGACGTGGACGTGGACGTGGACGTGGACGTGGACGTGGACATGGACGTGGACGTGGACGTGGACATGGACGTGGACGTGGACGTGGACGTGGACATGGACGTGGACGTGGACGTGGACGTGGACGTGGACTGGACGTGGACGTGGACGTGGACGTGGACGTGGACGTGGACGTGGACGTGGACGTGGACGTGGACGTGGACGTGGACGTGGACGTGGACGTGGACGTGGACGTGGACGTGGACATGGACGTGGACGTGGACGTGGACATGGACGTGGACGTGGACGTGGACGTGGACATGGACGTGGACGTGGACGTGGACGTGGACGTGGACGTGGACGTGGACGTGGACGTGGACGTGGACGTGGACGTGGACATGGACGTGGACGTGGACGTGGACGTGGACATGGACGTGGACGTGGACGTGGACGTGGACGTGGACGTGGACGTGGACGTGGACATGGACGTGGACGTGGACGTGGACGTGGACATGGACGTGGACGTGGACATGGACGTGGACGTGGACGTGGACATGGACGTGGACGTGGACGTGGACGTGGACGTGGACGTGGACGTGGACGTGGACATGGACGTGGACGTGGACGTGGACGTGGACATGGACGTGGACGTGGACGTGGACGTGGACGTGGACGTGGACGTGGACATGGACGTGGACGTGGACGTGGACGTGGACGTGGACGTGGACGTGGACGTGGACGTGGACATGGACGTGGACTGGACGTGGACGTGGACGTGGACGTGGACGTGGACGTGACGTGGACGTGGACGTGGACGTGACGTGACGTGGACGTGGACATGGACGTGGACATGGACGTGGACATGGACGTGGACGTGGACGTGGACGTGGACTGGACGTGGACGTGGACGTGGACATGGACGTGGACGTGGACGTGGACGGGACGTGGACGTGGACGTGGACGTGGACGTGGACGTGGACGTGGACATGGACGTGGACGTGGACGGGACGTGGACGTGGACGTGGACGTGGACATGGACGTGGACGTGGACGTGGACATGGACGTGGACGTGGACGTGGACGTGGACATGGACGTGTGGACGTGGACGTGGACATGGACGTGGACGTGGACGTGGAGTGGACATGGACGTGGACGTGGACGTGGACGTGGACATGGACGTGGACGTGGACGTGGACATGGACGTGGACGTGGACATGGACGTGGACGTGGACGTGGACGTGGACGTGGACGTGGACGTGGACGTGGACGTGGACGTGGACGTGGACGTGGACGTGGACGTGGACGTGGACGTGGACGTGGACGTGACTGGACGTGGACATGGACGTGGACGTGGACGTGGACGTGGACGTGGACGTGGACGTGGACGTGGACGTGGACGTGGACATGGACGTGGACGTGGACGTGGACGTGGACGTGGACGTGGACATGGACGTGGACGTGGACGTGGGACGTGGACGTGGACGTGGACGTGGACGTGGACGTGGACGTGGACGTGGACCATGGACGTGGACATGGACGTGGACGTGGACGTGGACGTGGACGTGGACGTGGACATGGACGTGGACATGGACGTGGACGTGGACGTGGACGTGGCGTGGACGTGGACGTGGACATGGACATGGACGTGGACGTGGACATGGACGTGGACGTGGACGTGGACGTGGACGTGGACGTGGACGTGGAGTGGACGTGGACGTGGACGTGGACGTGGACGTGGACATGGACGTGGACGTGGACGTGGACGTGGACATGGACGTGGACGTGGACGTGGACGTGGACGTGGACGTGGACATGGACGTGGACGTGGACGTGGACGTGGACATGGACGTGACGTGGACGTGGACGTGGACGTGGACGTGGACGTGACATGGACGTGGACATGGACGTGGACGTGGACGTGGACATGGACGTGGACATGGACGTGGACTGGACATGGACGTGGACGTGGACGTGGACGTGGACGTGGACATGACGTGGACGTGGACGTGGACGTGGACGTGACATGGACGTGGACGTGGACGTGGACATGGACGTGGACGTGGACGTGGACGTGGACATGGACGTGGACGTGGACATGGACGTGGACGTGGACGGGACGTGGACGTGGACATGGACGTGGACGTGGACGTGGACGTGGACGTGGACGTGGACGTGGACGTGGCATGGCGTGGACGTGGACGTGGACGTGGACGTGGACGTGGACGTGGACGTGGACATGGACGTGGACGTGGACGTGGACGTGGACGTGGACTGGACATGGACGTGGACGTGGACGTGGACGTGGACGTGGACGTGGACGTGGACGTGGACGTGGACGTGGACGTGGACGTGGACGTGGACGTGGACGTGGACGTGGACGTGGACATGGACGTGGACGTGGACATGGACGTGGACGTGGACGTGGACGTGGACATGGACGTGGACGTGGACGTGGAATGGACGTGGACATGACGTGGACGTGGACGTGGACGTGGACGTGGACGTGGACATGGACGTGGACGTGGGTGGACGTGGACGGATGGACGTGACGTGGACGTGGACATGGACGTGGACGTGGACGTGGACGTGGACGTGGACGTGGACGTGGACGTGGACATGGACGTGGGACGTGGACATGGACGTGGACGTGGATGGACGTGGACATGGACGTGGACGTGGACGTGGACGTGGACGTGGACGTGGACGTGGACGTGGACGTGGACGTGGACGTGGACGTGGACGTGGACGTGGACGTGGACGTGGACGTGGACGTGGACGTGGACGTGGACGTGGACGTGGACGTGGACATGGACGTGGACGTGGACGTGGAC